ATGAGTTCAAAGTATCACAACGACTAAGCAACCAAATTGTACAACTCATGCAATCACCAAACCGTCAAGTCAAAATGATGGCAAGTCATGATTGATATTGATCAAATGATTGACATTTAACTCATCTAGTGTCAATATGCATATAGGCGATAAACGCATGTATAAAGTTCAGCCATAAATTCTGGAGCAATAAGGATCAATTTGATTTTAAGCCAATGGTTGAGATTATTGTTCACGATTCCGATCAAGAAATGCTCAGATTGGCGATTGACCTGTTCTTGGAAGTTTGTCATGATATTGACGATGATAATGTATGTTTACAATGATACAATATTGGATCAGTTTGGACAGTGTCATGTCATGTCTTGTTGATCTAATTGTATACTTGACATTGAACAATATCATTAGTTTGGCATCGTGTTGTCAAGACTCGTTTCACGACTGGAATCATCCGATGGTTCAGTTGCTGTTGGGTTTATTAGAAATATCAAAACCATGTTTTGGAAGATCCATCGTCATGACCGAGTAAAAGCAGTGAAATGTGGCATCATTCCAGCACTGGTCAATACGCTCGGGTATGTGGTGTTATGCATGAATGTGTGTCCAGTCATTACAATTGGTAAATTTGACATGGTTGGATTGATATGACATGAATACAGGAGTGTCGATCAAATAGTGATTGATCAAAGTATTGATACTATCGAGAATTTTTACAACTATGCAGATTGTGAAGCAATTGCAACCGAGTTGATAAGGTCGGGATTGATTCAAATGTTTAGTGACTTGTGTATCAGATACAGCAACGACTCTGAACTAAAAACACGCATGATCAGAATGGCTGGAACAGTTGCATCCAAAATGCACGACTTTCCTGTATCACTTGCACGATCGTTGATTTTTGAGCAATTGACGATATCAGTGTGTGATCTCCGCATGGGTTACTCTTTTCGCCTGTTTGATAATGTCAGCGACATGATTCAGAAATCTACAAACAAGGCCGAGATGATCAAGGTGTTTCAAGAATATGGAATTGTAAAGCAGCTCATCACTATTTATTCACGTAGATATCTATGTTTGCATAATTCTGGTGGTGATCCTGGTATTGTAAACCTACTCAGGACACTTGTTGATTTTGCCGACAATCATCCCGACAGTTCAATACGTATCGAGTTGGATCAAGGCGGGATGTTTGAAAATCTGATGGCTATTGTAAAATCGGATGCTGCTGACCACGTAAACAAGAGGGTTGCTGGCCAGATCATTGAAACGTGTTTCCAGCATCGGGTTCATGTTGCTAGTTCAAGTATTCAGCCATACAACGACAATGCCGAAATTGATATGAAATCTGGAATGGCTGGATATAAACATGGAGAGGTGCGCACACTTGTCGAAATGCAGTATATCCAGTATCTGCAATCTATACTTTGCAAACCCATGTGGTGGATCGATATCACAAACCAGCATATTGTGGAGCAATGGAAGGCTGACTCACTCGATCGGAATATATCACCATCAACATTTAATCTTGCATTGGAACAACTCGAGGTTTTTGTCAAACAACTTGTTTGTAGTGGCAGTGATGGATTTGGTACAATTGTCCCAGGACCTGTTGAACTGACGTATATACTGGACAATGGCATACCTGACAATGTATACACGCGATTGATGACAAATGTATCGGATATTGAACATGGATCAAATCACAACACTGGTCAAATGGTGCACAATCTGATTGATGCATCAATGTACAGTGTTGTATATGGACAAACGATGATTGTACCACTGAGTATACGACTCAAATACACCACAATGGTACCATGCGATATATTGTTATCGACTCGACTTGTTTCAAATGTGCCCATCATTGAAGGTGAACCCAAGTTTATATCATGCAAGTTTCAATGGCTTCCGAGTGAATTCCGTGTCGAACAGGATGGCAGTGTGACCATCAACTCATACATCAACAATCTGAATCCGATATGGCATCGAGACATGTACAAATGCATTGCCAAAATATTCAAATGTTTTGTCCCAATGTTTGAAAGTCTGTTCAGAACGATACATCCATTGTTCAAGTATATTGATATTCGCAATGGCACAAATGGATATGAGTTACCAAGTCAGTCAGATCGTGGTGGTATGCAGCCAAATACTCGAGTCACTCGTCCCGTGTATGTACCAACACTTCCAGAACATTTTGAACCCAATTATAAATCAGCAAAACCAGTATCACTGCGTGGTCGTAATCTACAAGTCATTGTCAAACTCACCAACATTCAATTGACACCATCCAAACCTAAATACGACGAGGGAAACTGGCACAATGAAGGTCCAATTAACGAATCAATTGTTGCAACTGGACTGTATTACTACGACGTGGAAAATATCACCACACCCAAACTCGATTTCCGCGTGGCTGTTGATCGTTTTGAATATCAAAAAGCATCTGATATGTATTGGAAAGATGTGTATGACATTGATCAAGAATCACCATATAATCAATATATAGGATCGCTTGAGTTACCAAATGGTCGATGTGTAGTTTATCCCAATCGATACCAACACAAAGAACAATCATTTGAACTTGCAGATCCAACTCAACCAGGACACTGCAAAATTCTGACATTTTTTGTAGTGAATCCATCTTGTCGGATTGTTTCGACTGCGCATGTGGCTCCACAACAACCACAATGGTACAACTCGAGTCTTGACAAGGCACACGTACCGCCTGAACTGTGGAATGATATCACGCAGTATATTCAAGGTGTTCAATCACCAGCTGAAGCCAAACACTATCGAGATGAATTGACAAATGACCGAACTCAAATCACAGCGGCATACAACAAGGACATATATGAGCGGGTGTATGATTCTAGTCGTTGGTGGTGAATTGTGAGGTTGTGATTTTACAACAATGAGTTGTAATGCCAGTCAGATCTATGCAATTAAATGGATCGAATAAATTGAATGAATTGAATAAATTGAATCAATCATGACAGTGATTGTTGATTATATTGACTGATTGTGTACAATTGATTGATACAAGTGATATGGATGCATCATTCGGTGTTGTTGAATCAGATCATTGTTTGATTCTGTCAATGTGATCAAATGGATTACTACAAAACTGTACATGCTCAAGTTGAATCAAGTATTGAATCGAGTATTGGATTGATATTTACACACAACCACAATTACAACCACAATTGCAATCAGCACAGTCTGAATATTAGACATTTGAACATCACGTATCGAGTTGTGGATAAATGCGAGTTGGCATATTGGACTGTTTTTGTAGTTTATTAATGCTTTGATTCACGACTGTTTGAATTCAAGGCTCAATATGGATTACAACTGGATTGTCGTTGTTTCCATTTGGGATGGCAAATCTGTCAATGTGTTGATTGATTGCTAGTTCATTGACCAGTACATCGATCAGTAATTGTCCAAATAAGTTGTATCCGAGTCGAGTTGTCAATCAGGATACCGTAACCTGACATCCAAACGATTGTCCAAACCATCAATGATTGCCAGAATAAGCTTTACAACTCGACTGCAATAACCACCACAATCATGGTCAGGTTAGTATGTTGATCCGTTTACAAAGTTCCAATACTGCAACAGAATCAACATACTCTTGAAAGTGCTGCACACCACATGAATCCAGCAAACCCACTGATGAATTGAACCAATCAATTGACCAATGACATGACTCGATATTGGACATCGAGTTGCACACAGTTGGTAAAAAGTCACCGACATGTTCAGATAGTCAAACCTTGACTACAGGTTGATATCATCACCCAACACACCAAATACAACACACAATCTGGACGACTACTGGATCATATTGTGGATATCAATCGACGTAGCTACTGGTTCCAAACAACCATGTACAATCATGTACAGTTATTACAGGACAATATAATACATTTATGAATAGCATGTTGTAATCAACACAAGTGGAGTTGTGCAATAGACTTGTCATGGTTTACAATGGTTTGATATGAACATGATGACTCGGACTCTATTCAGTCGGATCAACTCGACTACAATTAGTCGTGTATATTATGATTGACACGATCAATTGTAGTTGAACTCGAATACAGATTGACTGTTGAATCACAATGCGTGATATCAGCAACATGATGTGCTATATAGTGGAATGTATACGCTAACCTGACATGTGTCATGTAGTGTGTATTCGATCAATATGGGTATTAGCAATCAACAAGTCATACGATGTTTGTGTTCGAGTGATGGAATGGAATACAATGCAATGGAATGAGTGCATCAATCCAGAATACGAGTCAACCATGACATATGATCATGATTTGTGGTTGATACAACTATATAGTGACAATCGATATTGATATAATAGCACACAACATACAATACCAACACAACAGTTGCAAGTCATTGATCATCAATGTGACATTGTGGTTGCAACATGAATTGCATTGTATTGATTCAGTTGATTGATTGAATTATTGAGTAATGTGTAGTGATGGCTGTTGTGTCGAGTTGAATGCAAAGCATCACTAAGCCATAGCATGCTTGAATCATGCTAATCAACTGAGCCATTTGGAAAGCATGAACATCATAGCACATATTGATGTTCATGTAATAACTGAATGCCAGCTCAGTTACACAGGCTATGCAATATTATTTTGAACATGCATTGATTTCCCAGGCTGTAGCTTACTAGCCCTTTTTAAGATATAAAAGGGTGGAAACTACAATCAATCAACCATACGACACTCGAATGCATAATCAAACAACAGTTAACCAGGATTGAGGATCACCATACGAAGGGATATCCCTTCAAGTTTTGACATTGACAACAATAAATCAGTACCAACCCTGACAGCAGCACTAGTTCCTTAGGGTGCTCATTCAGGGAATATGCTTTTAATACCATTCACTCAACAATGGATATAAATACGACACCAAACCGACCTGGTGGATGACATTACAACTTGCTCAACCAAATCAACACAATGAAATTCACAATTGCTTTGTCATCGATCCTGGCTGTTTGCTCAGTTACCACAGCTACTCCAATTTTCTCCAGCTCGACTACAAGTACCGAATCTAGCACTTCAACCGTCATTACCAGTGCACAAGCTACACCTTCAGTTGATCTTGGTCTGTCATCAAAGGGCACTATGGATTTAATCAAAGAATATGTAGAAACAGAAGAAAATTGCGAGCAAGTAACGAAAACGCAAAAACTGGTAGAATTTGAAGAAATGTGTCAAGAAAATTTGGTAACATGGCTAGAGAGGGAATACCAGGATTTGAAACGCAAATTTTGGAAGCACCTACATGGTCCAAGGCACAGGAAAGTGCTTAAAAAGCTTGAGCTTGAAATTAAAGCCCAATATCAGATTCTTTGTGATCTTGAAGAAAGTTGCATGTATTTATGTTGCAGTAACTCTCAACTTTATTCAAAATTGCGCGCAATCAAAGTACTACTTGAAGATAGCTTGCTCAAAGAAAATTCGGGCTTGGAAACAGCCGATGCTCATACACAATCCGTCGACGCATCTCCTAGTTCTGTACCAAATCAACAGTCATAATCTCAGCAAACTTCTACTAGTGGGATCCAAAGTTCACCACAACATCATGAAAATTCGCCTCGTCCTTGTTATCGAATGAAACGCCTACAGTTTAACCCATTCAAACATCATGTAGTATACAAGCAGCTTGATCCAACACACAAAAAACTTTGTCCAAACTTGAAGATAAAGTTAAATTATTTTGTTAATCCAACCGTGACGATTCATCCAATTGATTTGATTGCTAATCCGGACTGGTTTTGACCCGAGTCCATTGTATTTTTGCTTGAATGAAATATAATTACCATTTGATATTGAATATTTGATATTGTATGTGATTATTCTACAGTCTTGGTTGGTATCATATCATATTGCACATTGACACTTGTATTTCCAATACAATACAGTTGATTGTATATTGCATAGTTGTACACATTGATGATGCTGACATGCATTGTGTATTGTGTCGATATGATATTGCTTGTCATGTCGTATTGACACATGTAATATCAATACCAACAATAGTCATGCGTGTTGATATCAGATCCGACCAATTTGACTGGTTTGACTCGTTGATTGTGGTGTCAAAATGGTTGCATCAATAGCCTGACTGATCACACACATCAGTTGTAGTATCAACTTTGTAGTGTGTCAAGTACCATATGTTGATGTATGCAGTGATCGTATACTGGTCAATTGGTGCAATATGATCACACATGCTAATGGAGTGTGATAGTCATGGTACTATGCAACAATAACCAGTTTTATTGCTATATCTGTTTATCCCTCAAGTTTCTCGTATCTAACTTTTGAATGCTTATTACCACGACGAGTGCTACCACGGAGAGTACTACCAAGTCGCGAAAATGATCTCCCAGGAGTAGATGTGACATCTGAACTTGAAGTACTTGGTCGTTCAGGCAATCTAACAGTATACATCAAATTTATGATCAATATCAATTCACACACCCACACATCAATATCAAACAACTTACTGTGATGGTGACCAGAGCACTCGATCACTGTTTGAAATAATAGGATATCCATCAGTCGAGACTTCGCATCCACATCCAGGACCAAACCCAATGCGTGTATTTTGTAAATCAAATGTCAATCCAAGTCGAACCATAAATGATGTACCAAGAGTTGCATAATCATTTGAACCAACTGCTACAGCAAATCTAACTATAATCCAACATTATATTAGTCAGGTTAATCAAACAACACACATTACATACAATTATCAAATATTTACCATGTTTAGAATCATATCTCCACATATAGTCTCTAGGACTCAGTGTGATCGTTACAACGGAGTTGCGATTGTCATCAGTTACAGGGGTTTCAGAATACATTACGATTGAAATCGTTGGCATCATGTCCCAATTGATATTGTATTTGGATTCGGACATTAAATGATTTTTCCGCAATTTCCTTTGGATTTTTCTTTTGCCGAGGTGATCGTTTCTAAACATAGTTTTGACAGTGATCGCATCACTATCAAGAATAGTATTGATCAGCACATCCACGACTACTTTGGGAAAACGCATATATAAAAAGCATGTTTGTAGATACGAGTACAAAGTACGTCCGTTTTCCACTTTTTTTTGAAATCCAGCAGGCAGCTCCACTGGTTTGCCATTGATTAGTATACTCTTGATGTTGACAGTATGATGATCGGCTGATGGTGATTGTACCCATGCAACACTTGTTCCATCCGTTCCACATTTTGGAGTTACACCCGTGTTTCCTATATTGATGAAGCTTTCTGAAAGCATTCCATACGGACATATTTGAAGACCAATCTCATTTTTAGGAATGATACCACTATTGTACAAAACATCCATCGCAGTGGATTGTGGATGTTGATCTGACAACGAAGAATAGGCGAAGCCAAATATTCCTTGATCGATTCTTCCACCAATGCCAATTAGATCTGGCGATTGTTTTTGAATTGCTATTACTGGTAAATCCATGCCAATTATCTTGGTACCCGGAATCGTCACAGCGGCTGTGGAAGTAACTCCTTTATACTCTTCGCCTTTGTACTCTATCATAATACCTTCCTCATTTAGAGTACTTTTTGAAGTCAAACCTACACTGCTTCTTGAACTAGAAATTGGTACCACTATATCAGAAGCTGCTGAATCGACTTGTAAATTCAACTATTTTAAACAAGTGTTAGATTGATTAAACGTGGTATTATTGATATCAAACTACAATTCATGACATGATACATACACTGACTCCATTAACATTGACTTTTATCTTGAAACATCGACCAATACCACCACCCAATTGAACGGGTGATCGTTTTGATAGCCTATTGTTTGATTGACTGGTAATTTCAAAAGGTGAATGTAATGCAAGTCGAACTGCAGCAACCGCTTGTAACGCAAGTAGAACGCATTCTATAGTAATCAGCATTGTATCAAGTAGTGTGATGAGAGTGTCGTGAATCTGGTACATGACTGCCGTTTTATAATGACGGCAGCTTCAAGGGCGACAATCAACATTTTCCAAATAAATAATCACAGAAAATACCAAAAACACCATATAGGGTTGACAAACCCAGAAACACCCTGTAGGGCGAATCAATATACAAGCATCGTTGTTGGTGGAAAATCAACTTCACTAGTATGCTGTGTTGATATTTCCAATTGCGGTGATGTATTTAATAATCAGGTAGTATCACCCTGCTTATGGATAATTATCATCACATATACAATCCATTACTACAACATATACTGTCACTGTATATCAAATACTTGACTGATTATTCGATTAGTCATGTTTTTTGGCCAGTATCCATTTTGTATACAGGTCGGGTTGTTCAATGACTTGCTATCATGCAGATTTAAATACAATGTTATATAGATATTGACAACTATGCAACGATTGGTTATTGTTGGTATATATTCTGATTGAACTACCAATAATGGTTATTGCACACAAAGTCACCCAATATCCTGCCGATTCTGGTTGTGATTGTATTCCACATCCAATTATAGATTGTAATCAGTCACAATTGCCATGCTTGATCAAGTGATATTTTGCATTGATCATGACATCATACATCACAATACTGCCAGATTACTGCACACAAGTCATGACCAATACAAATGCATTACTGATTGACACTGATCGACCCATAAACGCAGTCAGACAGCACAACAAATCACTAGCATGCCATTGACCGTATTGCAATACAATTGTCCAATATATCATGATGTGTTGTATCGAGTCACGACATACAGTATTACTGACTGAATACAGGTCACAACTGCAAGTATCCATGTGGTAATGAGCTGACATTGGTGTTGATATCCAATTGATTGATTAATCGATCATCATCAATTGCATCAGTGACTGGTATATGCAACTGATATATACCATGTCCGAGTCTGATACATGTAGATATATGCGTGTCGATCAACAATGCATATTTGTGACCACTACAGTTGAATGTTGCCACAAGTTGTGTAAATGTGAGTCGAGTCGATCATTAAACCAACCAATCAATGACTGTAGTCTAAATGTGGTGCGATTGATACGACATGACAATATATTGTCCAACAGGTTCAACAACATACACAACACCGATATCCAATACATCACACATGTATACACTGCATATACAAGCAGTAGCAATGACCAATCCAAACCAACAGTGACAGAGTTACACATCAACATATACTCGATTATCAGTCGAGTCTGCATATACCAACCAGTTGCAACACGTCATAATCAGTGTGGATTGTATTGTCCACCAATCAATCATGACAGCTAATCAATACCAATCATGTAGTCAATACAATCACCAACATATCGATGATTGTTGACTGGTGGTTACAACTCGTCAATTGCATCCAATGTTACAGGTGATGCACATCTGATTACTGCAAATCAACAACTTGTCAATCATATCATAGTGTGTATTGCCAACGGACCATGCAATTACAAATCAATGTATACGTGATCAACATTTGATATTTAATGGTGATGAATCAACCATGATTGATTGTATCATACAACTAATACAGTTGCACTGTCTGGTATGTATGATCGACCCATTCATGTCAAACAGTAACTAATGTGTGTATATCAAGTTTGTGTTGCATGGACACATCAAGGTGTTTGATAACGAGTCCAACGTGATGATACAAACCCGATATTATATGAATATCCAAGTTGATGAATCAAGTCAAGGTTTGCAAAGTGTCAATATGTCAGGTCAATCAAACAAGTCAGTCAACCATTATATTGTGACTAGTGATTGCACGGTTTGAATGTCAACGAGTTGAACAGTCGATAATATGGGTGATTGTGATTTGGTCAAACCGCAACATTCACATACCACTGGGTCGGTTTGGTGTACGCGGTACTCGATCGGTGTAATATGATCGTGTCAAACATATTATTGTATTGCTATAAATGTGATTGTATGACAACGGTGTGTATGAATAATGCTTGTGTTCATCATGTGATAACACAGTATACTTGCCGCATTACGATGCCACAAAGCACTTCTACATGAAATTCAACCCTAATATTAAACTTCCAGCTTCAACAACGAATCATCATGTAAACACAACTCCCTTAAACTACCCTTACAGTAACACTGGGTCAACACTAACCTTGATAATAACACAAATCCCTTAGGACGGTAGTTTAAAAAGCATGCTTGCAATACTATACACTAATATATAAATACAACTAAACATCAACTTGCCAAATGATAATCTACAACTTGCTCGACCAAACCAGTAAAAATGAAACTTTCAATCGCCATATTGTCATCGATCCTGCTTGCCTGCTCGGTCACTGTTGCCGACCCAGTTCTTGCCAGTTCGACTACAAGTACTGCAACCAGCACTTCATCGACATCTCCTAGTGCGACTGAAACTAGCGGACCTGACTTGACGAAACTATTCGATCCATATAGTGTATATATGTCTGATTGCTACCCAATTGATTTTGATGGAATCACACTGATTGAATCACTTGCAAACGGTGTACGTAGACTTGAAAGACTGCTACAAGATACTAGCGAGAAAAAAACCGAGATTAAAGATCAAGTGGAAGTGGTTAGTAAGCTCAAGGAAAAATTTGACCATTTAAAGAGTGACCCTTCAAGCAGTAAATCAGAGATAATCAAACTCAAATCTACGCTTGTTGGATCCATTGGGATTTTTAAAAGCCTCAAAAGACAGATGAAGGAGCTCATCAAGGAGTATTCGCATACGAATCAGCAAAATGCTAAAACACGAACGATGCTTGGAGATTACTTTACGAAACACCATCCGATTGGATCAACGAACTCTGACGGTACGATAAACGCTAAATCATATCCTGGATTCAAGAAATGTTTTGATCATTTCTACTATCGTTTACCACAATGATTGCCACGATCCGAGTATGGTGTCGTTCTCCAGATTTTGGTGTTTGGTAATAAACCCTTCAACCATAGACTCGTCACATTGTTGCAGCTCAGTAAACTATCGACAGCATCATCCAGTATATGTTGTAACGCAGCGTGTATTGCGTGTTGGTTTAATTGTTATTTGTGTTGCATTCAATGTCGCTTATTCAATAAACATCATGTATTGCCAAACCATAGTGTATTATACTGATGGTTTGATTATACTACACCAATCAACTACTATGCATTGTATTGTATTGTATTAACCATTGCAATGTCATTTATGAATCCACGCGATTGTGTATATTTGTCATTTTGGGTTACCAATCAACCCACTCCATTTGACACCAACTCATTGGTATCACTATACTATTTTATTCAGGTGATACGAATGGACTATTACAACCATCAACAAATGTGCAATTGTCACTCGATATATCGAGTCTGATATGCAACACTATGCTGTGTTTACTGTGATCAAGCTTTTGATCAATCTTGGACTTACAATACATGATTTGTCATGTTGGATCGTGTGGATATGTCATGGACTGCAACTGATGCTATACGCTACAATTTAGTTGAAAACACACATATGCTGGACATTGGCCGGTACATACTGTGCAACGACTGATCAGTGCGTGTGTAATCGCACACTTGGTGGTATTATGCATTATGGTTGTTTGACAATGGATGGATGCTGGATTAGTCAGTTATATGCAACTCATCTGAATCGACCTACTTGAACAAACACTCGATGTAACTGACAACAATGTGTATACATGGATATACATGGATATGTGGTGGTGTATTGATCAAACTACTGACTGACAAGCAATCAGTTGACAATCATGTGGTGCTGGTATTTGAGTTGGAGTGACTGATCACAGAATGCCGAGTATTTGATTAATCGAGTTTTTGATGATAGCGTACCAGTGATAACAAACACAACTCTGACACCATCACTGGAGCAGTCATACATGAGTTGACCAACAAACTCGTAGCACCGTCAGTATATGCTCGTACGATCATGGTATGTCTGCATGAAATCATCTCGTATTCCAGTATTCGAGTTTAAACAAAACTCATTTAAAAACATGTATAACGGACGTCGTGTCAATGAATTGAGAATGTTGAATCAATTTCCATTAAATGTGAATATTCGACTAGTGTTGATTATGAAACAAAAGACAATCCTTGCAAGATAATACAAGTATTTCTATTTCAAGCAAATACAGTTGTAAAACGAATTGAGGAATACGTTTGTTTATTTAAAACTATTAAACTGATCAACCCACTTGCGTCCAATGTTTTAGCGTATTAAAGTATCGAACTGCATCATATGCCAATGCTATTTTGGTAACAAATGTCAGCATCAACGCTGGATTATCTTTGCAAAGTCGTTCAAATGCATCTCGACTTAGTCGCCACAATAGAGCATCTTGCGTTGCTTTCAGTAAACACATCCTTGGTCGATCTGTAAACATTTCGATTTCTCCTACCATTGTACCTGGTAGCATCGTCTCAACCACTTGCCCAGCTCCATGTTTTTCTGGAATCATAAGAACCAATTCACCCTCCTCAATCACGTACAACTCTGTTGCGTCGTCTCCAAGAGTATATAGCGTTTCTCCTGCAGCAACTTCAATGAGCTCAAAATTCGAACCACAGAGTTCTGCTAAAAGTGGTTCAAATGGAGAACCTTCAGAAAATGCCTGAAGAAGAATAGAAACAGGTCGAGCTACTGTATTATGAGATTGCTGTTTTGGGTGTGGATGCTTGCTGATCACAAGAGATGCTGCTGCACATGCCTGTTGTGCGCGTGGGGTAACAAAATGCGTATCTGTAACATTCGAGTGGTAATTTGTTGGTATAGCCACAGATTTACCTTCTAAAACCACAATTCAATTACAACCCGTTAGTTTAAAATGATTCAACAGGTAGTCGGTTCAACAACGGTTTGATCTTACCCAACATAATGGAACGGTTACTTTTTTTATAGTATGCTTCTAGTAGAACGTTTTCACACCACTCCAATGCCTCGTTTAAAGTATTGAAATTATGCACATCAACATATGGTTCAACTGCATCGTCATCTTCAACTCCGTCAAACACGCCAGACTTGATCACATCTCTATATAGCATGCCTAGCCCACAAAACACTAAATGAGCTTTTCTTTGGTTAATTACTCGCCGGATCCTTTGAAAAGATTCCAAGGCCGAGTAATCGATTCCATGTATTAGCCCAAAATCAACCACGACAAATTTAGTCTCGGGTGTATCGATAAACACGGATCGAATATGCACTTCAAGCTGATTCAGTGTTCCAAAAAATATAAATCCTTGAAGCCTAATTGCATGAATTTGATCTCCGCAGTTATCAAGAAATATCTGTTGACGATAGAGACGATGCACCGTTGAACGAAGCTGAGAACCAGTAAAACTTGCTCTAATGATGGATCGCTGTGAACACATTACCACTGGTTGAAAAGTCATAGAATTGCAAATATGTCAGTTCAAACGTGTTGGGTAAAGACTCGGATGAACAGGAAAATCAAATATAAACCTACCGAAAAAGACGCACGCAAAAATAATTCCAACAACAATACCCTCAGTAAACCCAATACCACCCATGACACCGATAATGAGCAAAATAGTTGCATATTCAAGTCGATTGATCCCAATAAACCACGTATGAACTACACTTTCAAGTAGCAAATCGATGCCCAGATGAAAAACCAGTCTAAAATCAAGCTTGGTAATTAGCATACATGACTTGTAAATTCAACTCTTATCCTTGTGCAAATGTTTACAAAGACACTTACGATCCAACCAAGATGCAAGGAACGAGAGAAAACACCATGCTGCCTTTTATCCACAGCCATGCAGTGGCAAAAAACAGCATAAATCCACCAATACGAGATCCACCTCCAGATCGAATATACAGCAACGAGTTGGAGTAGACTAGATAATTTTGTGGTGCACCTAGCAATCCAGCGCCAATGTTTGTCAACCCATGACCAATAATTTCCCATGACAAGTCCACATCTTGCTTAGTGGATATAGCCAGTGCAGGCACTAGTTGTATGAATTTTGGTTTAGTGTCGAGGTGGGATGACAGATTCATATGATACAAGCGATACATTACAAAAAATAATAAATACCATTAATTGGCACATGCAGAATACCAAAGAAAATCAATGCAAGTTGTGTCGGTATAGTTACTATAGAAAACCCATGTCAGTGCACAATCTATCAAAAATCACAAGAAATAGACTTACAAGCAACAGCGCGCCAATTCACAACACCAAAGTCAAAATAGGTAAAATAAGTCCAGTAGGGCATTTCAGACGAGTTTGGTAAATCGAATAGCCAATGTTCGGCACGTAAAGTTTCGATGGATAATCCCATTGCAAACGTTATCGTATAAAACACGATTGGAACACACGTGTAGAATATAGGAATCAAGAGATTATAATTTACATGTTGCTGAATGGTTTTCAATAGCAATGCAATAGCTAGACTAGTTCCCCATAACTTGAATGCAGATAATTCAAATATACGATATAGATAAGAAAGCGTGAATTCTTGCTTGATATCTGAAGTGACTTCTATCCCAGTGAAAATAAGAAAAAGACCAATACCTCCAATACACCCAATAAGGATATGACGAGGAAAGAATTGGATCAGACTGCCTAGCTTGAATATACCAAGAATGAGGAAAACGATACCAGTGAGAAGTGTGCTCATGGCATATGAGGTCATAATGGTTGCTGTAATATCGTGTGTAGACGATCCAGACATTTCCTTGACAATTGTTTCACACATGATATGCAAAAAAGGCATGACTTCAATCATCATGCTGCCCACAGCACCCTTGAATGCCGAGCCACCACAAGTGAAGATCAGCTGAGAAATAATTGTGCTACGATTGTTGAATTAGACGGGTTGAAGATTTGACACGATACAATGCAGACAGACTTACCTTGCAAAAAACATGGAGATGCCGCTCTGAACAGCCGAATCAGGAACATAAGTGCTAGAAGCAGGGAAAACGATGATTCCGTAGGACATGGCATCCAATAAATTTAGCATGACAGCCAAGCAGACGGCAGGAATAGCTTTAATACCAGTTTGTGCAACAGATCCTACAGTCTTGAGTGTGCATTGGGAACGTAGGTGAAGCCAATACGAGGGGTAAAAGCGATGTTCATGAGAATGTTCATGGGATGTGCAGCGTTGTGATGCAGATGTACCATATTGAGAATGAGTGCAGTCAGGACACTGGAGAGAAGCAGATTGACGATGAGTTGGCAGTAAGAATGAGGTTTCATTGGACTCGTCATTGGACTCGTCATTGCTGCATGCATTCTCACTGCAACCAACTGCAGAAGAATCTGGAATCAAAGTCACATGTAATGGAGGAATCATCAGACGAGTAGGAGTCTGAGAACGCAATAGACTTTTCCCACTATCAGCAAGAATCTTATTATGATGAGTAATGACTTGCTGGCTCAACAGTGACACACTGACACTTGGAGATCGGCTTGACTTCTCCAATACAATCGAGTCAGAATATGAATTGCCTGCAGTGGGTTTGTCTGAATGCATTGATACTGGGGTATGATCTACATCCATCTCACTTCCCACACCAACCAATAGTGAGTGTTCTGAAACTGTGTCGTAGGAATAGTCTCTCCCTAGCGTCATATCCAACTCTCTCTTTGTCCAGGAGTGAGTTTGCTATGAAATGCAATGGTAAAAGTTAGCCAATGACCAAAGCAGCTCAGTACCCAACAATATTAGAAACTAAGCATAAATCCTAAGGGATGCAAAGTTATCTAGTGTGTGCATCTATATTCCACAGCATTCATCTATTACAACTATATAGGGCTGCATTGATCAACATCATACTTGACGAATCTCCTTGCTGGTAAGCGATACTCCCACATCGTGTACTGAACTAGAAATGCTACCCTGTATAGCCGAATCTAGTTATCCGTCAATACCAACCCAAAGGTTAACTCTTGTTCAACTCATTGACAATGGACTCCATTTGCTCTTGTACAAGTTGGTTTCTAAAACATCTGTTGGTCATTATGCAAACTCACTTGGTATTAAATCCTGATTTGATCGACTAGTATAATGAGACCTCGCTGGTACCAATGAACTACGCTTTCGTTGAAACCCTGACGTCGTAGAAAACACCGAGCTGGATGATGTTGCGGATGTAGTCGGATGTGCTGGTGATTCTGGTACATGCGATGACGAAGACAGTCGGTGTGGGGACAATAAAGGAAATCTAAACGAGTTGGCAGAAGGCGGAGTGGATGAATCCGTATAAGGAGTGGATGCAGACTCGATAGTCACAGACTTGTGCTGTGATGGTTCTGGATCCATTATAGTAAACTTGATCAAGGCTTGGATTCAATTTTTAATATATTCAAAGACTGAAACATGGATGGCTTTGCGGTTGACCTCTTGGTTTCGCTATTGGTAAACATTTAAACTAATGACTGAATACATGTCAAGCATCACCAACTAGCAATATATGGAAATACTCAAAAATCAATAGGTTTCAGCAGGTGTCTTGGCTAGATATGAACATTGGTTTGCTGTAACTGGAATATATTTTCAAATCTCATGAATTCAGCCATCCACAAGCTCAACTGATTCTCAATCCAACACTATTAAAATCAACTACATTTAAAAACAATAGTATAAAGAGTTGAATTGCAACACTAGAACTCACTCAGTTCAAGTGTCAGTCTATTGATTCACAGTCCAATACATTACAATTGGACACTCATTACTTTTTAGAAATGGGACGAGCAGATGTTTCCAATTGCTGGTACTCCTTGATTGTACTTTGTAGCGATTCTCGTGCCTCGATAAATTCCTGCTGTTCCATATAATCCAAATAGTGATGTAGATTGGCCTAACAGTTTGTCAGTATAAAACAACCTATTTAAAACATGTATCATTGCAATCAAAAGCCAATTTTGGCTGCATACCTTGCGTCGATACAGTTTGGTAAACCTTTGATCCATTCTGCCAAAAACTTGGTGCATGCAACAGTTGTTGGAAAGCGATAATAGTGCGTGTGGCTAAATCATATCGAGGTTGTCAAGTCAGTTTAGTTTTGAATGATATCAACTACTAGATTTACATATTTGTAGTCATGGAGTGTAAATCAGGCTGCAGACACGTCTGACTTGCCTGTCCAAGTGGAGGCACGCTGCACATTCCAGTCTTCCATCCATCGGTATTCCATGGCACAAACTTGAGTATTTTCTGCATCCTGGAAATAGGAATAGTAGCAAGGCACTCAGTAGAACACTCTTGAGAAAAATGGTTTAGGTGCATCAAGTATACCTGTCAATGTTTCGTCGTAAATCTGAAATCTCGACAGCACCGCGAACAATCAACGCACTTGCTAGGTAACTATCAAATGACAACATGAATCAGTAAAATGATATGCATAAATCATCACCAACCACTTACACGCTAGATCTAGGATCTGCAGAAATCAACTGACAGTTTTGAGAAAATGCATCCGTAAACATCTGGTCCAACCTGGTCACTCATTCAACGCAATCAAATGGTTTATATCAATCAAAACACATTTAAAGCAAGGTATATCTACAATACCTGCGAGGTTGGATCTGTACATCAGTTAACGCATACAGTGGTGTCATGGTGGAAAAGAGATATTTGAGTTTTGGAAATGGAATCAGATTTGTTACAATATCATTGATATCCACATTCAGCATGCCTTCAAATCGCATCGAACTAGATTTTGTTGGATTGAAGCAATCGGTTAGCTATTTCAAGTATTGGATATTCCTTGCAAACTCGTACAAAATTACCTTGTCATGTTAAGTAATAGGTTTGCAACCAAGTTGTTCATTGTGTCAAATGCATCTGCTTTTTTACTTATTGGGGTTTTGATTAAACCAGTATGAGCTAGTGCATCGCTATCGGTAATGGCACTACCTTTACGTCTACCTTGTGGTCCAATTTCCGATTGTGCTTGTATACGTTCGTATATGGCCAATAGTGATTGATTGTCAACTGGCAACACACAATCGACACTCTGAGCCATTTTATGCAACGACAATACACTAGAATGTCGAGCAATATTTGAACACGATTCAAAGTGAACAACACGAACCAATTCACTATTGAAATGCATTCATATTACCTGTTATAAGGAGATGTGACAACATCATCATTTGGAGAAGGAATCACTGTCGATGCAAACCGATACACGCTTGGAAATGCATCTTCCAATAACCCAAATAGATATGATCCCAATCCTGATCCAGTACCTCCACCCATGGATCCAATAATAAAAAACGATTGCAGCGAGTTACAGTATTCAGCCTGTTTGCGTACAACTTCAAGAATCTGATCTCTATACTGTGGACCATATACATGATGACCCATTGCCCAGTTGTTACCACTTCCAGAAACACTTGTAATGTGTTGCCATGGATCAAAGATTTCTTGCAGTGGTCCTCTTAAGATATGGTTGATGACTCCTTCTTCCATATCAATCATGATTCCCTGTAATAACAAAACGATTAGATGCGAGCATTTGTACTGCAAGCTGTATTGGCTTGAATCCAACTCACTCTCGCCTTGAGTCCTCTAATAGAACCATTTCCCTTGCCAACAGAAATGCATTCAAGTCCCTTTCTATTGTAAAAACAGTTGAATTCAACACTGATCATACCATGGAATCCAAGTACATCTACAACCATACTTTTCATCTACGTTTCGAAAAAAGGACGACATACAGTCGTCATAGACTCCTTGAGTATTGTATTTGGCATGCTCTTGAAGTGCCAGATCCCAGAATCTTCCTCCAATCTAATCATGAATCGAATGGCTGTCAGGATTGATGTTTATTCTTTTACATTAGTATTGCAGTTGTACCTGATTTCCACACTGGCCAACTGTAGACAATACAAAGTTGGTATACGATTAGATACTGTTATGGAAATCATTGATTTGATGTGTCAATACCTTGTATGACAACAGACTGGCTCATACTGCTCAACACCTAAATATCAGTTTATGATAAAGTCCAGCAGTCGGAAACCTCATTCGTCGATTGTGCAATGAGGATAACCAGTTTTAAACTTTGCACATCTATCTGTTCTGTAATAGCGTATGTTGAATCTACTAGTTCAGTTATCCATTTTATTCACGATGCAGTGTGTACTATTCGATTGCTGTCTAATTCTGCTGATGACAGTAGGTTAACATGAAAGTACACACTGTGATGTTGGGTAGTTGATAATGGGTGTAGATGTATGCAGCTAGTTACCAATAGTAGTCTTGACCAACCCGACACCATTTAACTGCATTGCTCAGTGTAATACTCGACTCTGCCAACGCGTTCCATCGACCTGTTGGATTGTCTTGTCCATATCTCGATCATTCTGGCTCAGTTGTTTATTGGCAGCATTCGGTAAACTTGGTAAGTCTGTTTTGAGTGGATTGAGCCCATCCTTGGCTGTTGTCCAACCCATATTAAACTCTTTACAAATCGAATCACGAATCAATGCATATGGGTATTCTACAGCATCAAACTGATCTTTATCGAACCGATTGGCAGGCTGAGTTGATTCGCCATCGTGGTGTGTATACATGGATCCATGTAAACACAATAACTGGTCCAGCAGTATATTCAACTCATAGTCGGTATATAGCTCGTGTTTTAACAATGCATTCATGAATAATTGTCGGAATTCACGTAAAACAGATTTGGTGGTTAGATCACTGGGTTTAGTATGATGAATATTGGATGATATAGCGTTGATGATATGTGTTGATGGTGGTTTGACTAAATATTCCCATGCTTGTGGATACAATCCACTTGGTAGTGCTGGTGGACCCAATATACGCAGTTTAGATCGCTGTGAGAATGGTAATTCAGCAACTGGTGATTTGAAATAAAGTTGCTGCTCTTGTTGTGTCATACCCAATGTCAAGGTTTTCCAAGTATGTGTATCGATCATTCGTCGCCATGAACAGAGACGGTTGAGATAATGTTCTGCCGTATCTACGTTGTGTAGTGTTACGACATTGGATACGTTGAATGTGCGTACATGTGGAGCATATCGTCTTCCAACTGATTTCCATACTTCGAACAACACCTGCATAATGCGATACTGCGTAAACGTGGTTTGAATATCCAAAGTGACTGGTAAGGGTTTGTGATGGACAGAGCTATGGGTAGATGAGATGTTGGATTGAAGATGAGTCAGCGATACTTGAAGATGATGGACTTGCTTCATAGCTGTATCAATCTGAGCAGACAACACTTTGTTGTACTTGATGTATCGTGGCGGAATGGATGAGATGAGATGCAGCATGGCTTTAATGCACGTATCCATTTCAATCTGACTCAATGGCAGTGTTTCTACAGATGGTATTGAATTTAGCGTGCA